CTATACATTGATCTTGATAAAAAAAAAAAAAAAAAAAAGTCATTCAGAAATTCAAAATAACGTATCTTCATTCAAATTTAAAATTCAAAATTCAAAATAACGACATTTCTGTAACGGGGGTGTAGCTCAGTGGTAGAGCGCTCGCTTTGCATGTGAGAGGCCCCGGGTTCGATCCCCGGCACCTCCACTTTTCCACGGCGTGAAAATGGAGTCGACCTTGACGGCTTGTTCTGGTTGTGAATTAGTGTCTGTGTGTATGTATCTCTTCGTAAATAGCCACAAGTACTGCACTAAATGAATAATGTGTATATATATTCAAATACATACAAGAATTTCTGTATGAGTACATACATACATACAAAAAAAAATATATATATTCATTTATTCATACATATATATGTGTGCTTACACACACACACAAACAAACAAAACAACACACACACACACACACACACACACAAAAACAAAACACACACACACACACACACACACACACACCACACACACACACACACACACACACACACACACACACACCATACATACATACATACATAATACATACACATAACATACACATACACACACATACACATACACATACATATACATATACATATACATAGACACATACATATACATATATATATATATAAATATATATATATATATATATATATATATATATATATATATATACATATACACATACATATACACATACATATACATACATACACATACACACATATACACATACATATACACATATATGTACATATACATATACATATATATACATATATGTTATCTATATCTATCTATCTATCTATCTATCTATCTATCTATCTATCTATCTATCTATATATATATATAATATATATTATATATATATATATGTACACATATAATCCCAGCATGTATATATACATATGTGTGTATATACACATATAGACAGATAAAGATGGATATAAAGAAGGAGTAAGCTAAATGTACAACTCTATGTTCGTAATATGTTTGTGCGTGTTTATGAAAGCACGAATACAACACGCCGCTACTAAATACACTTCGTTAGTAATGAGTACAATTCCTCGGGATTATTTCATTTGCAATGTTAAAGTTCATACATAATCAGTGTGGATTAAATGTCTATTGACGTGGTGATTTTAAACGATTAAGAGATGCAAGTATATATATATATATATTATATATATATATATATATATATATATATATATATTATATATATATATATAATATATATATATATATATATATATATAGTATATATGTATATATAATATTTAATATATATATATATACATATGTATGTATATATATGTATTATGGGGCTATTTTAGGGGTTGACCATTCTTAGGGAATAAACAATATTAAGCAATTGTTAAGCAACTAATTTTTTTTTACGACACAGCATTAAACATTTTTTCCCCTAATGCAATGTCGCCAATCCTCAATTTTATTTCCCTCTCGTTGACCTTATTAAGTACTGAGTATCATAAAGAAATGAAAATGAACTACACAAGAATCACAATAGATTTGACCAACACAGTAACATAATCAATTTATATGTTGAATTAAAGATAGTTCTGCTGCACATCATGAGAGACCAGCTGTCGGTTTCTGTTCTTCGTTAAACCACTGTTGTGTTCCCTCGCCGATTCCACTGTCTGTTCAGCATTTGGAGCATTCTGATTCAAGCAATTAAAAAGATTCCTCGAATTCCTTCTTGACCTCTTACATGTTCAGATTGTATAGCCTTTCTTTGTTGACAATAGGATCACTTTTTTTTTTTTTTACTTTTTTTCAATTTTCATCCTTTAATTGTCTTCATTTTGTTTATGTTTTTCTTTTGTCTTTTGTCATCTTCTGGGATTTTGTTAGAATACAAGGCCAGTGGAACCTGTCTCTCGATGAGGCAAAAAAGAGATGACTCTAAACTTCATCCAGTGCCTCTGCCACAAGACCTTCCTCTTCTTCGGATTTTGCGTTTTGGAGATTCACGTCACCAATCCACGTCCCTGATTTACTTCTCTGAGTCTACAGCATTTATTTGGGGCTTCAAATAAATACGTAACAAAGATGGTGACGAAGGATAAGCAGATATGTGAAGGGAGTGTTGGATGTACCCTTCAATTGTCTTCCTGGAGGGAAATATGGCCTAGATCTTTGTGATGTGGTCATCCTTGAACTTTTCTTGCCGAGGAAAGCCAAAACCAGTTGGTGAACCTCAAGACAGTCATTATAGGGCTTCATATAACGCCTGTGGTTGTGAATGAAGCATTTGACTTCCTCGAGCTGTATTCCTGTACCGTTTACTATATTTCTGAAACTTGGAACCTTCATTACTCTAATTAAAGATAAAATACCTCTTTTGACGTCCTTTCTGTAATTGATTGATGTTGAATACCACACACGTTGTCATCTTTACGTCACAGAAAGATTTTTTTTTATTCTAATTATCTATCTGTTTATTTTTATCTTTATTTATTTATTTATTTATTTATTTTTAGACCAAAAGAACGTACCGCTTGCGACACTCGGAACTTTCCCTTTTCTCTAACATACACAGACGTATATCCGCACGCACAGATACTTATTGCATATAGTTTTATATATGCCATTATACCGATATTAAATATGATGATAAATACAACGTGAATTATGTAGTGTCATTATGATAATAGTATTTATGATAATGATGACTGTAATACTATTACTAATAACTTTGGACGGATAATATTAATTGTAAAAGTGTTGATAATGTCAATCATGCTAATAATAACGGCATTCATGAAATTCAGATAAAAATGTTGATGGCTATTACACCAAAAACA